AATACTCGTCAATTTAAGCAAAACGTAAAATCTAATCGATTCAGATCTTTAATAAATAATTTAATTATCAAAAAACGCATTTAAGGCTACTGTTATGGTTTCTTAACTTTTTATATTTTATAAGTTCTTGTTAATTTAAATTTAGTTTTCCGTTAAATACCCCCTCCATTTGTTATTTTGTACAATCGCTCGCTCCATGGTGAATTGAATCCGAGTTTACTCGACATCGCTTACTATACTTTGACTATTATAAAATTTTTACAATCCACTAATTACTTAATAACTAATAGCTATGTATAAAATCATACAATAAATCCATAAACAAAATGTCAGAAACAGTTAACAGTTATTTATTATATCAGCGTTTTAAGTAGTATTTTAGCCACACAAGAATGTTTAAACGTGAGAACGTACTTCGAGCATTTAATATTCTTAAGTGGATAAAAAGCAATTAAGACACGAATGCAATAGAACGCTTTATCCGTAATCACATCACAATCATATTTGTGGAGACAGAATTATTGGAATTTAATAAAAAAATATTCACACGACTTGATATTTCTTACTACTGTACGTACTCAATGAAACGTGGTAGGTTTTGTTATACCTAATGGTTGCTATGGTACGTTGTTTATTATTAATTATTTAATAAATAGTTCTATCTGAAATTGGTAAAAATGCAAGAAAGTAATTGTGTTCCTGTTTGAAGCTCAAGAACCAGGGAACATTACGAAAAAAACGGAGAGTAATGACTATAATTGAAGAAGTCATGCTATCGTATTTTTTAAATTTGAAGAAAAAATATGCAATTTCAACTATGTGGTCGAAGTATTTGATGTTGAAGGCTACTATAAAGGTCTACAAAAATATAGATATTGGAAAATATAACAAGCTTACTGATTATTTGAAGAGTGAATCGAGAGGATACAAAGCAAAAAAAGTGGCAGTACTGAAAAGAGCACATATTGAAGAACTTTTTACTGGGGCTTCCGATAAAGGATGTTTAATGATTAAGCTAATATCTTTTTACCTTTCACAAGTTGTTAGGTATATAGTGAAGTTAAATGTGATAAAACAAAAAACGAAATGTCTACTACTATAAATGTAAATGTTATTGTTAATAAGTAAATAAATTAAATTTGATTTATTATAGGTTTATTATTTTTTCATTATTCTACTAGTGAAATAAAGTTACTTTATTGCACTAGTGGATAAAGTATCATTTTAGGCGGTTCATATTGTGTGGATCAAAGTCCAACTAGAAAGTGATTGTGGATCAAATAACACCCAGTATATCACTTTTTTTTTATTTCGCAATTTTTCAGTCTTTATTTTTTACCTTATCACAAATTTTAATAAACTAGCCACAAAAATGAAAAGATAAAAAGAAAATCTTAAATGGGGTGATTTTCAAAAGGTATATGGCAAAAAATTGTCATAAAGCAATAAAAAAAAAACAAATTCAAGCTTGAATTTCCAGTTTCAGGATGTGAAAATCATTTTCTTTGATTTGAGCTATTTAAGACCTTCATATGAGGATTTGTCACTGAGTTATCGTCGTTCAAAGCAAAAATTACTTTTTTGACCTTGATAAATAGTGAATTGCTTCGGAACTAATGATTATACAGAAAATCTAAGCAGAGTTTTCAAAAGAAAAGGCCGATACGAAGGGGGGAAAGGAAATACTTCGTACTGAGAGATGCCGATCAACACTAGTCTCATCGTGCTCGGACCAGTCTTTTACAGTCCGATTTATTAAGTAGACAAATTGATCACTGGATATTGGTATTTAGACCCACATTAAATACAATATTTGGCCCATACATTGTAATCATAGAGAAAGACAATTGTTTATCGGATATTACAGTGTGACTAAATTAATTGAATTCGTTACAATGAATTGAATTCGTTCAACGAGTGATTTTAGAAATATTTTTCTACTCTCATTTTTTTGTGTAAGCTTAACATAATAAGCAACATTTCTTGAAATATTGGAACATATTTAACAATTTTTTTGTTTTGAAATTGTCTCGTATATATACTTAATCTGTTCATTATTATTTACCGCCCTATTGAAAAGCTTAAATAATACCTTTAAAATAGTGTAAAAACAAATTTTCTGTAAGAATGACTTAATATGAGTGTACAAATATGCCCAAATTGGCTTTCTTTTTGCAATCTGCTTAAATAAGCTCTAATTATAAATTGCAATTTTGGCCCATGTTAAAAATATTTAATGAAAGAATTAAATCTAGTACAAAATTCTTTGTACCAATATCCGATTTAAAGCCATACTGATTGTTTTATAAAGATCTTACATTTTTTTGCAATAATTTGTAAACCGAACTCTTGATTGTTTAAAAATTTGTACCTTCGATACCGTTTATAATTGACATAAACTCATAATTTGTTACTTTATCATTATTTAATCATATAATGTCATGAAGTATCAGAACCACGGACTACAATTTTTTAAATTAATATTAAAATAGTATTCTCTTACCTCCTTTCCTCATCTTCCCATTTTATGTCAATACTTTCAGCTTTGATCGACATTTCCATCTCGTTAATATCGAATTCCTCGTCCAGGTTTTCAGTTTTAACGAATAAATCCAGTGGAGACGTATCTATTTGACTTCCTGTGGCTGAACTATCAAAGTTACTTTTAATTTTTTCTTCTAACTCTGAACAATCTTTAAGGAAACTGTTGTGGGTACACAGAGAATCCAAGCATGGCTTACAAATAACCGGATCTTTGATGATATTTATATTCTACAAAGCAGTTTCATTAAATTACAAAATATGCAAGTATTTAATATTGTTCATACCATTTCTGGAGCCAATGTGTCAATAGCTTCAAGTTCCTCTTCATGTATACATCTAAACTCACTTTCTACTGGGTGCATACACAATCGACATATTTTCTGATTGTATACTAATTCACTTTTCTTTTCCTGCATGTACACTTCTCTTAGGTCGAGCTGTAACATTTTTCTGCTATCCACATAAGGAGTAATTGTGTTATCGGTATTCAGACATGTGGACTTAAATTCTAACGCCGCATTTAACTTTCTTCTGCAAACGTTACATATAACATCTTTGCACTCATTATCAAATTTCTGAAATATATACAATTTTAAATAGAAAGAAACTGAGTGTAACAGAAAATAACAACTAAATACTAATAGTTGCTTTACACTTGAGACTATTAAGATCTAATCTAATTATATTTCACTGACTTACCAATTTCAGCAAAATAACATCTAGAATGTCTCCGATAATGTTGTCTACCACTTCAAAACTTTCATCTGTTATATTTTTAAGGCAAAGCCTACACGAAGTTTCCTTAATATCAGCCATTGCTCTGGAGCAATTTTCTTTTACGTATAAATAGAACACATATACAAAAAACTAAAATATAAAGCCTGCAATTCTAACCTATGCATTCTAAATTTCTTGGCTTCTTTTCTTAGGTAGCATGAGTTGCGTTTGGCAGTGTTGCCAGATTCTCGAAAACTAATGTCGCCAATTTAACGTAGAGAAATAACCAATCTTTCCTTCCAACATTAAATCATAATCATACACATAAGGCAGTAAATTATTGTTAAATAAATGCTGCCCCATTATATTCCGCCCGTTATTTAGGTTTTCTGTGAGCATTTGATTTGGATTTAGTTTAGAATGTTCTTTACCCAGGTCATAGAGGTTAGGTCAGTCTTCTCTTCTCTTTATTTAATACCTAGTTACTTAATTAACTTGAGGGACGGAAACAGCTTACTTCAAACTTATTTGTTTTTGCCAAATAATAGAAAAGTAAGGGAAATGAGCCGTTTTACAAATGTAAACATAGCACGGAGGTAACATAATGACGTCACGTATTCGAGCGTTTGTCATTTTATTTGGCGAACATGGGCTTAAATGGGACCGAGCAATTCTCTTGTATAAACTCCTTGGCCCATGGCGATTTTAAATAGCCAGTTTGGCTACAAATAGCCCCATCTGGCAACACTGCGCTGGCTCTTCGTACCGGTTCGAGTGAACCGGTCCCGTGTCAAAGACGAAATCCTGGACAGTGCACCCGCACTCGCGCAATTCATAAATTGCAGGTGTCGAGTGTATTTGCATCATGCGTCACCTTCTCAGATGATAGTTAAGTAGTAAAAACACATTTTTATTCAAATAAATACAAGGAAATACATTTATGAAACAATAAATAAAATTTCATACCAAATTTTATTTTTTTTACGTACATCCTTTTTTAATTGCTACTAAATAATCAACAAAAAAACAGATCCTATAGTTGTATAAAAAATATTACATAACTGACAAACTATTTCATGCGTCTGCTAAATAAATATTATTAACCGAGCTACACAGTGCGTTCACTCCTACTTTTATGTACACGGGTCGCAATATACTAAGAAGGAATAATTATGACAAATTCGGCTCAACTGGGGTCAAAAAAATGAGCCAGATTTCTCGTCTCTAGTTAGAAATGTTCCGTTCAAAAATTATAGTTGTAAATGTGATATTGAAACTTTATGAGAGTACTTTTTAAAGCTTAAAACCTCTACTTTAAGATGGTGCATTTTATTTTACTTATAAAATTTGAAAAAAAAAAATAAAAAATAAAAATATTTCATGAAAAATCAGTGAAAGTTGTTGGGTATTGCTTGCCTTTGTTAAGCTTTAGTGGACTGTATTTAAATTTAAATAAAAACGAGTCGTACGATACATCTAGCATCTATTTCGTTATAACATACAAATAAACCATCTACATACATGAAATGCTGAATGCCGACTGGCAACCCAAGACGCGCCTTTTTTCAGTGAAGGGCCTCCCCACTACTTGATATACATAACAATTTTGCGGGAATATTCAAATCCCTAACAAAACTATTTCCGAAAAATACAAATTTCAATTATGACAATTCTTTAGAAGCCCATAACTTGACAAATAAACGTCATACAAAAGAAAATTGCGTGTTCACACTCATACCTACTAGAAGTACAATTAAGCCGAATATGAACAAATTTCAGAAAGTTAACTTTTTTTTCGCTGCCCGCTTCACGTGAAATGCCCCATTTATGAAGACTTTTTATGCTTCAACATGTGATGTCTGATACTGTTCCTGTATTTAGTTTCGAAATCACAGTCTTTACACCTGTACATTTGTACCTGTGAAGGATCTTTATGTTTCAGTTGGTGTAATTTGATATTACCCTTAAATTTAGTTTTGTAATCGCAATCGTTACACCTGTATATTTGAACCTGCGAAGGATCCTTATGTGTCAGTTGGTGATTTTTGATATTACCCTTTAATTTAGTTTCATAATTGCAATCATCACACCTGTACATTTGAACCTGTGAAGGATCTTTATGTTTCAGTTGGTGCTTTTTGATAGCGTACCTGTATTTAGCTTCGTAATCGCAATCATCACACCTGTACATTTGAACCTGTGAAGGATCTTTATGTTTCAGTTGGTGCTTTTTGATAGAGTACCTGTATTTAGCTTCGTAATCGCAATTGTTACACCTGTACATTTTAATCTGTGAAGGATCTTTATGCTTCAGTTGATGGAGTTTGATGTAATCCTTGTATTTGGTTTCGTAATCGCAATTGTTACACCTGTACATTTGAATCTGTGAAGGGTCTTTATGCTTCAGTTGGTGGCTTTTGATAGCATTCTTGTATTTAGTTTCGTATGTGCAGTCTTTACACTTGTATATTCGAATATGCAAAGGATCTTTATGTCTCAACATGTGCCTCTGAAGTAATTTCTCATTTTCAGTTTCGTAGTCACAAGACTCACATTTATACGCTTCCAAATCGTTCTCCTGCCTCGCACAGTGTGACGTAAAACAGATCTCACTTTCAGTTTCATAAATACATTTATCACATTTGTACGATACTTTGCCCTCCTGCTTTGTTTTCACTTCTGATGCATGCTCATGTTTACATCCGTCCTCTTCTTCGTATTTACAGTCACTCTCCTCGAATGGTACAACATTGGAGCTCTGAAGTGGCGTGTCGCTGAAAAAATTGCAAATATAGGATATTTTTGAAAAACAGGTTTTAGTATTAAGAGGTTACACCTGACAGATGCCGAAATATTGCGTTTCACAAAAAAATACTCTAATAAAGGGGCATATTTACATTCGAAATCAATGAAATGTAATTATCAATCGTACATTTGTACCACCGCACGGAAACAACTCAGTGCTTGCTATCGTCCCTATGACCGTCACTCTTAGACTTCATTGAATTATGTATTATTAAATAGGATAGTAACTTCCAAAGATTTTCACAAACATTCAGTTATAAGTTTATGAACTTCGCAAGGCATTATTTCGTTTTTACTATAGTGAAATAATTTTCATGTTGTCAAATAGTAGGTTTGTTTCTGCAGCAAATTTCTGATAGTTTGGAAACTGTACGTTATGCGCGTGCGCGGTTGGAAACTGTTTCCAAACGGTTTGTATTTTTTATACTGCAAGAACGCGTATCTGGGTATCTGGGAGATTTTTAATAATAGAAACTCAACTGAGTCAAAGTCAACATCAACCTTCATATTCTCAATCTCAAGTCAAAATTTGGACAACCATTGTCCTCGTGTAGTAATGAAACATCCTGGAGCCACAATGCTACATTAATATTAATAAATAGTTATAAAGAAAACAGGGGCAAAGTAGGAACATTAAATATAAGGAATCTTAAAAAATTATGGGAATTTATCGCTGACCATATTAATGAAATTTTACGTACTAATTTTACTCCAGCTCAAGTGGAAAATCGTTGGAGGGTGTTGGAGCGGAATTATAAAAAGATAATCGACAACAATAATAAAACGGGCAGAGGTCGAAAGACCTTTATGTATGAGAAAGAATTGCAAGAGATATTTGGCAAAAAGAGGAATATTCATCCAGAACTTTTATTAGATAGTACTATTATCCACACAGTAAAACCTGCAAATAATAGTGTAAATGTTGACAGTGAGCAAGATGAAATTTGCACTGACCAAGGAACATCTACAATGAGCGACGTTATTGAAAAAAATAAAGAAAATGAGACGATTATTAGTGGTATTGTTGGACTTACCCCATCGCCACAATTAGCTAAGGGTAAAAATTTGACACCAAGGTTACGGCGTCGCAGAATAGAAGCAAAGAATAGTGTTTTAGAGTTGACAAGACAAGATAAACAGAAGTATTATGAAGAAATGTTAAAAATACAGAGAGAAAAATTGGGAGTAGAGAAAGAAAGACTACATGTTATGAAAGACATATCGAAAAAAAGAGGAAAAATGATTTAATTGAAGAGAGAAATAAGTTATTAAAATTAAATGTACAGAACAATATTACACTACCTGATGAAATATAACCACATAAACTTATACATTTTTTTATGTTTATAGATGCTAGAGACATGTTTGGTTTCTGTTGTTTTTATTATTTATTTTAATAAATGTTTTTTATCTTACCGTAAATTTTAATTGAGTCAGATATTTATTGGTTAAATACTCATATACTCATTGGTTAAATAAAAACGTTCTCTTTCACTGTGTTGACATAAGCCTTAGAACATATGATCCTACCTGTTTTAAGATTCTAAGGTATAAACTCGTACGAGTGGGTTTTCAGTCACCTAGACTGCCAATACGAACATTTAAGATTGATTGGTAATATTCTTCCTAACTTTCAATACAATTCATTGTGCATATTGTAGTGTAAAACAAATATAAACTAATAGCCAAAGTAAACCTTTAAAATCTTAGAAACATATACTAGTGGATTTGTTAAATGAAAAACAAAAACTTTGATTACTGTTTAATAAGAAAAATATTCTTTACACAAAAATATTTATAGTGGTAACATATTCATAACATTCCTTCTTCGTTGTATGCCAGTCACGTCATCTCTATTTTCGTTTCCCTCATTCTCCCTCTCGTGCTCATACACAGCTTCTATATTCCTTTGGAATGTTAAATTTAATGCATCATCAGGAAAATCGTCATCTAAGCATAAATTATGTACAACGCAGCATGCTCTGATGAAATGTGTGATTTCAGGTATACTTCTCAATTTAACATGGTATAACTGCCTGAATTTTTGTTTTAAAATACCTATGCAGTGTTCCACTAGATACCTATTTTGTGACAATGTTAGGTTATAATGTTGTTGCCTTCTTGTCAGATTACCAAAATCTTTGAATGGTGTTAATAAATTAGGTAGACAGGGGTAGCCACTATCTCCTATTATAAAGAAAGGACCGCATTTATCAGGCAGGCTCCCTGATAGAGGTGATGCCCTAAATACCCTGCTGTCATGTACAGATCCTGGAAAACCAACAAAGATATCTCTTATTTTTCTCCGATGATCACATACTACCTGAAACTAAATTTTTACATTCACAAATGTATAAGGAATCAGCAAAATTGTATTTTTTACCTGAATGGAAAAAAAGTGTTTCCTGTTTAAGTAAGAATCGGGGTCATTTGTTGGTTTGTCTATTTTGACATGGGATCCATCGATTGCGCCTATAACACCAGGAAACCCTTTAGTTCGAAAATAATGTTCTATCTCTATTTTCTCAGCATTTGATGGCCATGTTATAACTTCATGTGATAAATTACTTAGAAAATGTGTCATTTTTCGTATTATCTTATGCAATGTGCTAATGCTTATATTGAATCTGTCTGCAACATCTCGAAATGAAGCAGTTTGATGTCCTATAAACCATAAATAAATCAACACGTGATAATATGAATCCAGCTTTCCATTTCCTCCAGACTGGTACGTAAAATACTCCGAATTTGCAAAGCGATTCGAAATCTGTTCAGAAACTATTCTACTCACTCGAAAGTGTTCGATGAATTCTGTATTGTTGAATTGTGGAACAATAATCTGGACAAAATTTTGATTTTTTGGTCTCTCCCTTTCCTCCACAAGGAGATCCTCATCGTCACTACTAATTAAATCCTCTTCAGTAAATTCGTTTTCATAAGAGGTACTTGAACTCGAGCTACTTATATCCGACATCTACAAAAAACACAAATACATTTTAATTAACTGTATAAATGAAAATATTTTTTAAATGTATAAGTACACATGCCAATACTTACATTATAAGGCAGAATCAGCTACAAACAGTAATAAACGACTAACAACAGGAACAACAGAAACGTTACAGGTTACAGCAGAAATAATTAATAAAATCGAATAAAATCAAAATAGTGGAAGAGGTTAAGTCGTTAACATAGAAATATAGTCGTTAAGTACTATATTTTCTATGGTCGTTAAATGTTCTGTGACATCTGTGGTTAAAACACAACACAGAAAACAATCTTTTACGGTTATTCGCAATACGCATGCGTCAGATTAGTAGTTTGGAAAATAATCTCCAACTGATTTAACTATCAGCAAACGGTTTCGTGACAGTTTGAAAATTCTGAACGAACACTAAACTGGCAGTTAGAGTTTGAGAAATTGTTCTGCACAAACGCTAATTTTTATCTGCGCATGCTTCTGACGATTTGAAACTGCTGCAGAAACAAACCTAGTGTAATAAGAATGCATAAAGTTGAAGACAAGGCATTTCGTTTTTGGACATTTTATTAATAAGAAATCCAGATCAATCAGTTGTGACATTTTGGCAAGGTAAGTCTGTAGTTAGCACAGGCAGCTACCAGGTACATTTGCTACGACATAACAACGGAAAGAACCACTGCACTTTTTAAACCTATTAAAACCGGAAGGATTTTGAATTATCCTTCTCCTCACCCCTTACGATAAAAGGTAGAAATTTTGAATGGCACACACAACAATATTCTAATATTAAGGAGGTTTATCGGATACGGAGGTACATCTAAAGTCTAACGAGAGTTTCTGCAGATTCGCTAGCGACTAAAGTAGTAAGCCTTTAAATTCATCAACGTTGCACTTGGCTGGCTCGCGTTCGATCATTCTGTTTGCTTGGACACCTGCAAATTTCAAATAATACCCTACATCGAGACCGCGGCGCTGCCGCTATCACGCATATGGAGGATAAGCTAGTCAACGACAGCAGTTTGAAGGAGATTTATTATAAATTATGTATCTTACAAGTACCTAATCGATTTCTACAAGCTGTAATACGATTCCTTAGATATCGGTTTCCTATTTATACAAGTTGCTGTGAAAATTGTTTGTCAATTGTTGCGCACTCCAAGTGGAAAGACCAAATAAATCTGCATTCTCATAAGATTTCGTACTAAATCGTGAAAAATGATTTTATTAATATGTCGTCTCTTAGGTATCCAAACTAGTCATAATTTTGTTTGAGGATTTTCTTCATATTAATAAGCTTATATTAATTTTTTTATGAATATTTGTTTGTCAATTCCAAATCAGATAAACCTCCTTAAGTAATATCACAATAAGAATACTCGTCAATTTAAGCAAAACGTAAAATCTAATCGATTCAGATCTTTAATAATTAATTTAATTATCAAAAAACGCATATAATGCTACTGTTATGGTTTCTTAATTTTTTATATTTTATAAGTTCTTGTTAATTTAAATTTAGTTTTCCATTAAATACCCCCTGTTTGTTTTTTTGTACAATCGCTCGCTCCATGGCGAGTTGAATGCGAGTTTGCTCGACATCGCTTACTATACTTTGCCTATTATAAAATTTTTACAGTCCAGTAATTACTTAATAACTTTAATAGCTATGTAAAAAATCGTACAATAAATCCATAAAAATAATGTCAGAAACAGATAAAAGTTATTTAGTGTATCAGTGTTTTAAGTAGTATTTTAACCACACAAGAATGTTTAAACGCGAGAACGTACTTCGAGCGTTTAATATTCTTAAGTGGATAAAAGGCAATTAAGACACCAATGCAATACAACGCTTTATCCGTAATCACATCACAATCATATTTGTGGAGTCAGAATTATTGGAATTTAATAAAAAAATATTCAAACGACTTGATATTTCTTAATACTGTAGGTACTCAATAAAACGTGGTAGGTTTCGTTATACCTACTGGTTGCTATGGTACGTTGTTTATTATCAATTATTTAATAAATAGTTCTATCTGAAATTGGTAAAAATGCAAGAATGTAATTGTGTTCCTGTTTGAAGAAGCTCAAGAACCAGGAAACATTACGAAAAAAATGGAGAGTAATGACTATAATTGAAGATGTCTTCTTGCAATCTGCTTAAATAAGCTCTAATTATAAATTGCAATTTTTGCCCGATGTTAAACATATTTAATGAAAGAATGAAATCTAGTACAAAATTCTTTGTACCAATATCCGATTTAAAGCCATACTGATTGTTTCATAAAGATCTTACAGTTGTTTGCAATAATTTGTAAACCGAACTCTTGATTGTTTAAAAATTTGTACCCACGATACCGTTTATAATTGACAAACTCATAATTTGTTACTTTATCATTATTTAATCATATAAAGTCATGAAGTATCAGAATCACGGGCTACAATTTTTTAAATTAACATTAAAATAGTCTTCTCTTACCTACTTTCCTCATCTTCCGATTTTATGTCAATACTTTCAGCTTTGATCGACATTTTCATCTCGTTAATATCGAATTCCTCGTCCAGGTTTTCAGTTTTAACGAATAAATCCAGTGGAGACGTATCTATTTGACTTCCTGTGGCTGAACTATCAAAGTTACTTTTAATTTTTTCTTCTAACTCTGAACAATCTTTAAGGAAACTGTTGTGGGTACACAGAGAATCCAAGCATGGCTTACAAACAACAGGATCTTTGATGATATTTATATTCTACAAAGCGGTTTCGTTAAATTACAAAATATGCAAGTATTTAATATTGTTCATACCATTTCAGGAGCCAATTTCTCAATAGCTTCAAGTTCCACTTCACGTATGCACTTAAACTCACTTTCTACTGGGTGCATACACAATTGACATATTTTCTGACTGCAAACTAATTCACTTTTCTTTTCAAGCACGTACACTTCTCTTAGGTCGGGCTGTAACATTTTTTCGCTATCCACATAAGGAGCAATTGTGTTATCGGTATTCAGACATGTGGACTTAAATTCTAACGTCGCATTTAACTTCATTCTGCAGATGTTACATATAACCTCCTTGCTCTCTTTATCAAATTTCTGAAAAATATGCAACTTTCATCAGAAAGAAAATAAGTGTAGCGGAAAATAACAGTTAAATACTAAAAGTTGCTTTACACTTGAGAGTACTAGGATCTAATCTAATTAGATATCACTGACTTACCAATTTCAGCAAAAGAACATCTAGAATGTCTCTGATAATGTTGTCTACCACTTCAAAACTTTAATCTGTTATATTTTTAAGGCAAGGACTACAAGAAGTTTCCTTAATATCAGCTATTGCTCTGGAGCATTTTTTTTTTAAGTATAAATAGAACACAGATACAAAAAACTAAAATATAAAGCCTGCAATTCTAACCTATGCATTCTAAATTTCTTGGTTTCTTTTCTATGTTGCGTTTGGCAGTGTTGCCACTGCCAGATTCTCGAAAACTTTTCAATCTTTCCTTCCAACATTAAGTCATAATCATACACATAAGGCAGTAAATTATTGTTATATTCCGCTCGTTATTTAGGTTTTCTGTGAGCATTTGATTTGGATTTAGTTTAGAATGTTCTTTACCCAGGTTACAGAGGTTAGGTCAGTCTTCTCTTCTCTTTATTTAATACCTAGTTACTTAATTAACCTGAGGGACGGAAACGAGAACAGCTTACTTCAAACTTATTTGTTTTTGCCAAATAATAGAAAAGTAAGGGAAATGAGCCGTTTTACAAATGTAAACATAGCACGGAGGTAACATAATGACGTCACGTATTCGAGCGTTTGTCATTTTATTTGGCGAACATGGGCTTAAATGGGACCGAGCAATTCTCTTGTATAAACTCCTTGGCCCATGGCGATTTTAAATAGCCAGTTTGGCTACAAATAGCCCCATCTGGCAACACTGCGCTGGCTCTTCGTACCGGTTCGAGTGAACCGGTCCCGTGTCAAAGACGAAATCCTGGACAGTGCACCCGCACTCGCGCAATTCATAAATTGCAGGTGTCGAGTGTATTTGCATCATGCGTCACCTTCTCAGATGATAGTTAAGTAGTAAAAACACATTTTTATTCAAATAAATACAAGGAAATACATTTATGAAACAATAAATAAAATTTCATACCAAATTTTATTTTTTTTACGTACATCCTTTTTTAATTGCTACTAAATAATCAACAAAAAAACAGATCCTATAGTTGTATAAAAAATATTACATAACTGACAAACTATTTCATGCGTCTGCTAAATAAATATTATTAACCGAGCTACACAGTGCGTTCACTCCTACTTTTATGTACACGGGTCGCAATATACTAAGAAGGAATAATTATGACAAATTCGGCTCAACTGGGGTCAAAAAAATGAGCCAGATTTCTCGTCTCTAGTTAGAAATGTTCCATTCAAAAATTATACTTGTAAATGTGATATTGAAACTTTATGAGAGTACTTTTTAAAGCTTAAAACCTCTACTTTAAGATGGTGCATTTTATTTTACTTATAAAATTTGAAAAAAAAAAATAAAAAATAAAAATATTTCATGAAAAATCAGTGAAAGTTGTTGGGTATTGCTTGCCTTTGTTAAGCTTTAGTGGACTGTATTTAAATTTAAATAAAAACGAGTCGTACGATACATCTAGCATCTATTTCGTTATAACATATAAATAAACCATCTACATACATGAAATGCTGAATGCCGACTGGCAACCCAAGACGCGCCTTTTTTCAGTGAAGGGCCTCCCCACTACTTGATATACATAACAATTTTGCGGGAATATTCAAATCCCTAACAAAACTATTTCCGAAAAATACAAATTTCAATTATGACAATTCTTTAGAAGCCCATAACTTGACAAATAAACGTCATACAAAAAAAAATTGCGTGTTCACACTCATACCTACTAGAAGTACAATTAAGCCGAATATGAACAAATTTCAGAAAGTTAACTTTTTTTTCGCTGCCCGCTTCACGTGAAATGCCCCATTTATGAAGACTTTTTATGCTTCAACATGTGATGTCTGATACTGTTCCTGTATTTAGTTTCGAAATCACAGTCTTTACACCTGTACATTTGTACCTGTGAAGGATCTTTATGTTTCAGTTGGTGTAATTTGATATTACCCTTAAATTTAGTTTTGTAATCGCAATCGTTACACCTGTATATTTGAACCTGCGAAGGATCCTTATGTGTCAGTTGGTGATTTTTGATATTACCCTTTAATTTAGTTTCATAATTGCAATCATCACACCTGTACATTTGAACCTGTGAAGGATCTTTATGTTTCAGTTGGTGCTTTTTGATAGCGTACCTGTATTTAGCTTCGTAATCGCAATCATCACACCTGTACATTTGAACCTGTGAAGGATCTTTATGTTTCAGTTGGTGCTTTTTGATAGCGTACC